CCGCGCCAAGATTGAGCCTTAATAGGTCGCCGAGGTCAACTCCTTCGGTGCCAATTGCGCTTCAGTCCGCACCCTTAGGAGGTCCGCGGGTCCCTCAACTAGGTGAATTACTCCTTCTTCGACCTTCATTCTAATCGTGAATTCGTCCTTTAACTAACTGTAGGTTAAGCTTATTCTACAACTTTTTTGCTGCTTCAGTGTGACTCTCCTACTGCGAAGTCTGGGAATATTTCAATTCACCTTGAAATTTTGTTGCTATTGCAATAGGACCTTTCCATACGGGAACGCCCGCTTACCTTCTTGTTAGAGTCGAGCTGCTGCCGTTTTTACTTCCTTCACTGCTTCTTAACCAGCGTTCAGAAGCAACGACATCTTGAAATGATACGGTTATACAAAATCGGTAGAGCTCGGATTCAACCTAGGTTTGTTTGCAAATCCGCGTATTTCGCATTGTTACCACCGTTACCGTCATCAGCTGTTAGGCTGATGTCAGACTCCGCGATCCATCGCGCGATTAGCAAGTGCCCCATTTGAACATTTGAAACACTGAATATGAAACAAGTAGAATCATGAACAGTCGTCATTCAACCATCACCATCAAGCAGAAATGGCGGCGGGATTGGAGAGCACCTCGCAGTATTGATCGGGCACTTGTGATTCTGTGATCCGTCGCGCGACGGATCGCGCTTTCTGACACCAGCTTACACAATGTCATTTATGATACCTTCTGATGCACACTTAGACCATACGTAGTTTGCTTATGGCCATTGAGAAGAAGAGAGTGGGCTTTCGTTCAAAATGAACCAACTGTAAACAGCATTTCCTCTTTCCTCTTCAGCTTCAATTAATAGTCTTCAATCAATTGTTTGAAGTATGTGCTCCGATGTGGTCATGGAGTTCAAAGACGGAGCGAATTCGGCACGGATATACCCGGTGCTTTTGAAGCGGCGGTCGCTGTGTTTGATAAAAGGAGAGTCCAGATATCGTTGGAAGCATGGGTGCGTTGCTACTATCATTATTTGAATATGTTGAAGTACGTTTATTCCTTCTTTTATCAGAGACCTATTTCACCACAGACCAGCTAGAAAGCTACTTTTTAATTCCTCTGTCATTGCAGAATTGTGAACCGCAAACATGATATCAATCCAGTTACACATCGAGTGACGCGTCGTCAGCTTCGTGTATCTATAACATTGCGAAAAATACGCCACGAACGCTGTCAATGTCAATTCAAAGAATTCTGTGACTGGGATAGAGGAGGTAGGTAGTTCTTTCTCGAGCATTCTGTATGTTACAATCCTTTGTTCATTTCCCCATTTCACAAAACGAAGTTATTGGGGGTGATTCACAGCGGTATCCCGATCTTGTAACTTTGTCGGTTTGACAAATCAGAAATCCCGCGACTCTGATATCTTTATTGATGTTCTCCTCGAACGGTTTGTTGAATGAGAGTTCCCTCCTCCCTTCTCAGTCTCCTTCTCATTTCTTTCCGAAAACATAAGTGGGTTTATTTGTTAGTCATTCAATTGCCCTATTTTCTGCCCTCACTCAACCTAGTAAGTTATGGTGATAACAAGAAATAAGCTTGGAATAGCAACGTCCATGTAAATAAAAGTTGAAAAATTTGAAATCTAACGGTGACTCATAATGAATCCTTCATGTATTTCCTTTTCTGCATTGAAATTATCCTTTAAACCTATTGTGTGACATCTCAGGAGAAATGGCTGTTCCATCCGATGACAATTCAGCTGAACGTATAGAACGGTTATACGTTAATGGCGTATACGAAAGTATTGCGTCGCACTTTGACGAGACGAGGTTTTCCAGCTGGACCGGTGTAAAAAGGTAATTTTGGGAACTTCCTCCTTAACGTGGGCGAAAGTGGGTAGTGGCAAGGAGCGCGCTTACCACGCGCACGGTCCGCTGATTAAATGCCGGAGCTTCCAAACAGGCCTTCTATCCCTCAGGAATCGGTCTATTGCTACCAGACTTGTATAGGAGGATAAACTTGAATTGTGCAGTGGCTGGCCCGTAGTTCATACACCAAATCGCATTTCAAGGACCAGAGATTCTGAAATGAAGTAGAATGTTTGGCGCATCCCAAAAGGGATTGGTCAAGTGGAATGCCTTATCCTTCTTTCTGCAATGGTTACTTTGTCTTTATCGAAGGCTTATGCCACTCTTT